GTAGTTACGTAGTTACGTACGTACGTAGTATACGTAGTACGTAGAGTAGTAGACGAGAGAGAGAGAGAGAGAGAGAGAGAGAGAGAGAGAGAGAGAGAGAGAGATTCAATCAAAATCCAATGATACAGTGAGAATTATAAGAAACAAAATTTTGGTGCCCCAATTCAATGGTGCACCCAACTTTTCAACAAAACAATCCACAATTATTCATGAAAGTCTGAACTTGAGTTCAAATTCTGGCCACAATAATCTCCTGCTGTGTATTCCAATCAAAATCACCATTTCTATGACAAAAAAATACAGAGAAAGGGGGAAAAGAGAAAAAAAAGTATGTACACAAGAAAAGGCTTTGTGAGAACGCCATTGAGGAGCCAGGGTTTCATGTGCTTGCTCCCACGCATGCTCTGAAGGAACATGAAGACTGCAATCTCCCTCCATATTTGCCCTATCCTCCGTTAACTTGTTGCAGAGAATTAGGGTTAGGGTTTCTCATTCATTCACTCATTGAAAGAATGGCAGAAGCTCTCACGAAGTGTAAATTGACAGTCAGAAACCCTATGTATACCCATTGTTTGCCGCCAATTTTAATTATCCAGTGATGATCTGATGTGGCTCATAACTGGACGGCATAGATTTTGAGTAGTATAAATGAACGGTTAGTATTTAAAATTTGGGCTCCATGCGGAGCTATTTTGAAGTTAAACCCTTATAAAAATGATAAGGGAAAAGTTTATAGAGAGCCGAGGCTCTAAACGATCAAATTTGAGCCTACCTCGATATTTTCCTAGAAGAGGGTGTTTTGATGACCGAATATCTTCAAATTGATCTTCTTGACATCAAGATACAAGGACATGAGAAAAAAATAGATTGCAAGTTTTGAAAATAGTGTATTTTGTTATGTATTTTTGGACAGTAAATTTTCAAGATTTTCAAGTTTTTATAGATATCTCAATCTACACTATTTTTTAAGCTTTAAATTTTATAAATATATTTTAAGGCTATCACAAATATTTCTAACATTAAAACCACATTTCTTGACACTATTTGAAGGTAAGCTCTATACAAACCACACCCAAGTGATAATAATGAGACCGTTGGGTGTAAAGGGGTCACAATTAATTTTGACCAATGAATGCGAAATTTGATGACTACATTTATTTTATTGACAAAGATCAAAATTCAAAAGAAATTTTTTTGAACTTTGTGACATACCCAAGATATCATATTTCACCACAGATGGTTATAACTTATAAGTAATTGTGACCTCTTACTACCAAAGATAAATGGTTTCAATATACTACAAAGGCGAGATGCACTTTAAAAAAAGCGATTATTTAAATCTAGAAAACCATTCAGTTAATTGTTTAGACCTCGAGATGTATTGGTCTCATTATATACATTTTCATATATAAATGTGAAGAAAGTGATTTAAATCTTGAAAATAGTGGAACTTATGACATACTATTTAAATCTTTGTTTTTCAATATTTTATATGTTTATAAATGAGAGTACCATTTTTTAATTTGAATTGGGTTGAAAACAGATTTTGAATTACAGGTAGAGTACCAGTGTCAAAACTGTTTGATTTGGTGCTATCCAAAATCACCCACATAATAAAATCCCATATTACGCGGAATTGATATTGATATTTGATAAATTTCTTGAAGGAAATAGAAATCCAAAATGATTAAGATTTTTAGATGTATCTTTTGGTCTTTTGAGATATATATAACATCAATAGGAAGTTTCATATTTAGTTTCTTATATATATGAGATGAAAGTGCAAAAAATTTATGTGCTCTATTTGAGTCACCATATGTGAATGGTGGTTTTCTCTAGAGAGAGGGGGGCAGAGCCTTTTGTGCATGAGATGCAAGGTTCTCTTAGAGAAGAGAGTTTCAATGTCCTCTTAGGGAACAGAGGTTCTTATGAAGAGAAATATTGATAGTGCCTCTTGAAGAGTCTTGCAGAGTGAAATGCATATTGAAGACTCCTGCAGAGTGAGAGGTTGGTTTCTTGTACAGAAACGGTTTTCATAAAGATTTTGGGTGGTTTCCCTTTAAGTGATATAAAGTCTCGTTTATTCTCAAAGTTCTCTTTCTAGACATTCGTCTAGTTATGGAATAGATATCAGATATCAGCACTGGTGCCAGTTGAGAAAGCAGGTTTAAAAGGGTTTGCTCGACTTGGTTTTTGTCGAGGTTTAGAGAGAGGCAACTCTTTGTTTCAAAATCTTTGATGTAACTTTCATTGGTATATTTTAATTTACCGTACCTGTGGATGTAGCCCTTCTGGGATGAACCATGTTCTTGGGTGAAACATATAAATCTTTGTGTTCTTGTAATATGTGTTTCGTGTTTTATTTCTCATACTTTATTTCCCAAAAAAACCCATTGGGTTTAGAGCTTCCGCATACAATAAAAACTGCATCTTCCAAAAAACACCCAAAAAATTAGGACAATACAATAAAAATAGGGAAAAGTTTATATAGAGCAATGGTTCTAAACAATCAAATTTGAGCCTACTTCAAAAATTTCTCTAGAAGAGGTTGTTGTTTTGATGTCCAAATATTCAAATTTTTCATCTCGACATCAAGATGCATGGAAATGAGAAAAAAATGGACTACAAGTTTTGGAAATAGTGTATTTTGTTATACATTTTTGGACCGTCAATTTTCAAGATTTTCAAGTTTTCATAGATATGTCGATCTACATTGTATTTAAAGCTTTAGATGTTATAAATAAATATAAAAATATATTTTAAGGCTATCACAAAGATTTCCAATAATAAAACCACATTTCTCAACAATATTTGAAGATAAGCTCTAATTTGATTGTTAGAGCCTATGCTCTATACAAACCGCACCCGTAAAAATATTACGAATTAGCTCAAATTATTTAAAGAAGAAATTAAGAGAGAGAGAGAGAGAGAATCAAAATATCATCAGTAAGTTTGAATTGTTTATTATTCTATAAAATAGTATACAGTAAGACTGTTTATTGGTATGAGGAGATCACAATTACTTTTAGCCATTAGAAGTGTAAATTGGACATTATGTAGGTATACAATTGACTTAAAAAAGAAATTTAACTTCATAACACACTCGGATTTTACATATGGCAGCAAAGTGTGATAACTGGACGTATATAAAGAGGGATCCTTTCAAAGTAAGAGAGGTTCGAGACTTCGAAATATTTGAAAAATGAAATCGATTGAAGAGCGGGACTGAAGGGAAAGTTTGTTAGTATTTTTTGTTTTAAAAAATAGCTGGTTGTATTTTTAAATAATATTATGTTTTGTGTGGTTTTTTTAAGTTTTTAAATAGGTTGAGAGATAAAATTGTCGATTTTAGTCTCACATTGAAGAACAGAGTGAGGATTGAGTGATTTATATGTATAGACATTCTCATACCTTATATTTTTAAAACAAAAGTGAGAATGTGGGTGCTTTTGCGGAGCACGCAAAACGCTTGTGCACAAGGGCATTTCATGGTGCACTTTGCACTCTGTATGCTCCCATCAGCGAATGAGGAGCGTAAGCAAGTTGGCCTCGAGGCTCAATTTATTTTTATGTGGCATATGTGACATCGAACAGACGGGGTAACCATTGAAAACATAAGGTAAATGAAAGCCATCGAGACAGAGAGCAGTGCATATAATTGTTTGCATCCAACGGTTGATAGGTGTTGATGGTAGCTGGTTGAAATCCAACAATCACTTTGTATTGTGAAACAATATGTAACTGTTCACTTGAACATTCACATGCCGGCTGCTCATAGTTCTATATAATGGGTTCGATTTTTCTTTATACACAAGTTTCGAACTTTTTCTTTAAGAATGCATAATCTGGTGTTCTACAGTAGGCTTCTAGTTCAAGTGATTAGAACTTTGAAGCGCAACAAAGAAACCTTATGTTTTTATATATCCCAAAAACGAATTGCCTTTCTTATGCACACCATTTATAATGTGAATGAGAGGCAAATATCGCTTAGAGAAAGCACTCTTGTTGTCCTACATGCCCAAAGAGAGGTCACATAAAGCTAATTCCGGCATTCCATGGGAAAGGGACTTATGATAGAGATGTACTAAAAATGTTGTGATGGCCGCCAACCTAACACAACTTTCTTCCTTTCTCATCTGGGCTTGGGACTTGCAATAACGAGAAGCAACTTCCCTTGAACCTTTAAAACAAAAAAAATGAAAAAACAAAAAAAAAACTTGGAAGAGAGGTTGCGTGATATAATATTTACAAAAGCTGAAACGATCCATACTACAAGAATATATCCTTCTCTATATTGTTCTATCTTGTTGAAGGTTGATTGATAATTTCTGTCTTTTTTCTTTTTGGGCATTGATAATTGCATCTATTATCAATGATATGTTGCTCATTCTCTTTCGTTTCTTGAGAATATTTATCTTGACTAGCAAATCATCTCCCTTAGTGCAACATTCTCTTTCGTTTCTTGAGAATATTTATCTTGACTAGCAAATCATCTCCCTTAGTGCCTTGTAAATGGTATGGTGATGATTTTTCTTTAATTATCAGTTTTTTTCTTGCTTTAGGATCCAATCAAACTGGGGAAAGATGCTCAACAATTAGAAACACATTTACGTTACAAAACATTAACTCTCCCAAATCCTTGTCACCAGATTGAATATCTCTCTCTCTCTCTCTCTCTCTCTCTCTCTCTCTCTCCTTGTTTGATGTGATGCAACTTCCTTTTCTCCTTTACTACTACCTCATTCCAATGTGATATCCCATTCGAGATGTATTCATTTGAATTCTAATGGCAAAACGAGGAGCATCTCGGACTGAGCTGTCTGTCGTTAATTGGCTTAGCTAATTGCTGGGTCCTGATTTGCTAATGTTGCTTTGATGACCAACTCTTTGATTTACTGAAGTAAGCTTTATACCCAAAAAAAACAAAAAAAAGGGCCTAAGATAAAGGTTGAAGACCCCCATTTTCCTTAGGTAGACGCAATGTTTTAAATAACCGATAAATCTCCACCCTATAAATTCATGTTTAAAAAAAAAAAATTATTTAGATCACCATTACAAACCTGATTTTTGGATAAACGATATGCTCCACTGATCCGAGTTTTAAAATGCTGGGAGGATTGGATGGCTGCAATGATACTGTCATGGCCAAAATCAAGCTAGGCAGCAAATAGGCAGGTCAAATTGTAGCCTATTCGATTTGGCAAGCTGGTCTTTAACTTTTGGGGATTTGTTCTACACTAGCATTTGCATATTTTTACATTATGCTAGTATCAACGCAATCATCAAAAGTCAAACCGAGCCTGTAGTCAAACTGGTCGCCCGCCAATTCTAAACCAGGTCGGAAGTGCCTGAGCCAAGTTGCCTACCGGTTCTCTGGGCTTTCATTCTATTGAACTATAAAATAAAAAATAAAAAAATAAGAACAAGTGGTAACCAGGTAAAACCAGGGGTTCTTAAGACCAAAACCAGTCACCCACAGTTCTGTGCCGACTCAAGTGGTTCTAAGCCAGCTGACGGATTCCTAAAATACTCTGTCAAACAAATCGCTCCTCCATTCAAAATCTTGTCAAAACCCTTCATTGTTGACATCAAATAAATGGTGAAATGCTACCAAATTGCAGAAAACCCCAATTCCAGCATCTCATACAAACCCAAATAAGTGTTGCCACTGGGTTTTCCTATAATTCACCAGTACCTCCACAATGTTATGAAGATGCCGAAAATAGGAAATTGGAGAGGTGCTAACAAAATATAAGAAAACCAAAGTGCAAGTTTAGCATACCCTCTTGTCTTGTAGCATCCCTGAAGTGTTCAAAACCCGAGTCTCTACTCAAGACTTTATGCTAATTGCCACATCCATGAGGTTTACCTATAGCATTGATCAGCATAATCATCTGAACCTTATCCCAACTATTTGAAATTGAGGTTTACCTATATAGCATTGATCAGCATAATCGTCACCATCCTAACCTTATCCCAACTATTTAGAATTAAAACCTATATAGCATTACCAAAGAAAAAAGAAAACAACAATGCTTCTATCCAAATTTGATACCCGCCATCTTGGTTGCCTCCAGACTAGATACCAGCTACCTCAGCAACATCTTTACATCCAGATTGAGTCTCACCAAAAAAAAAAAAAAAAATTGCAATCAACTTCATGCCAAAAATTTGCAAACTTAATAAGTCAAAATTTTTCAACTTAACACCATGTGAAGGCAATATGCAATACTTCAAGACAGTATCTATCCATCCAATTCAATACCGGCCATCTTGGTTCCATCGCTTTCCTTCTTATCATCATCATGTCTGTCAACACCGTCATTATCACCATCATTATCATTGACATCACCTTCCTTCTTATGATCATCATGTATGTCAACACCATCATTATCACCATCATTATCATCGTCATCATCATCAGTACCATCATCTCTGCGCGAAAGCCGGGCAACAGCCATTCTAGCACTCATGTAGTCGATCGCAAAATCATAATCAGCATCCTTGTCATCCTCAGCAGGGAAGCGCTTTGCTTTCTTTCTCTTCTTCTTCTCTGCCTTGGCTATGCGAGGATCCAATATGCCTTCCGCAGAGTAAAGCTTATCATTTTGTCCCTTGGTGGTACTGATGTTATTAGCTGCCGGAGCACCCCTCTCATCATCACAAGCCATTGATTCTTCCATCTGCTTTTCTTCCATAGGTTTGTCTTCCTTGGGTGACTACACAAGGCATAAAAGTGGGGCGTGTCAATGACAAGGCGAGATGCCAAAAATTGGCGCTCAAAATATCATGTCAATTGATCGCAAAGTTGGTCATCCCAATATCATCAAAATGCATATAATATCATGGAATATTTGTAGACTTATGAAATTAGGAAGACACGGGGCCCTAATTTGATTGGGAAAATAATGCTCTTCAAAAACAAAAACCAATACGCTTTATTTGCAGCCTTTGCAACAACTAGAAATTATTTGTATGGGATCAAATAATGGTTTATATAATGTGTTGATTAAAAATGGCATGCCTTATTAAAACATTGGAGCATTCTTGAAATTGGAATACCAACCTCCAGCATTTGAGAATCCAAATTAAGGGGTGAACTTGGCGGAACTTCGAGATGAAAAACATCATCCACTGATTTAAGGCTACCAATGAAAGATGCCTCCTCCCCATAAATTTCATCCACATTGAACTCTTTCCCCCATTCTGACACAATGGCTGACTCCAACTTCTCACCATCATCACGAGCTGGGGGTGAAGTATAATATGGTATTTTACCTGAATGCAATCAAGCCAAACCAAAAGACTGCTTTTTTAATTGCTCAAGAAACTGGTCATTTTTCCAAGCAAATAAGGACAACCATACGTCCATAACATACCCTCATTCCAATCATGAAGAACTATCCGAGCAGTTGCCTCGATATCAACAGCTCCACCTTTCCTCAGCTTACCACGAAGAGTGGCTAGCTTCTGCAAAAATTCTTCGACCGAGTGAAATATGGACAATTTATACACCGACATCAACTTCTCAGCAGGGCACAGGTCAAGTATCTCTTTAACTGCAAGGGTAAAAGCAAAGCAGTCAAGACTTTAAAATACCTGCAAAGTAACCCACGGTCGTAAGAAACCAAAAAAAAATCATCATGATCAGAAACAGGGATAGAACTGCAATGAGCGAGAGAGAGAGAGAGAGAGAGAGAGAGAGAGAGAGAGAGAGAGAGAGAGAGAGAGAGAGAGAGAGAGAGAGAGAGAGAGAGAGAGAGAGAGAGAGTAGAGAGAGTAGAGAGTAGAGTAGTAGTAGTAGTAGTAGTAGTAGTACGTAGTAGTACGTAGTAGTACGTAGTAGTACTAGTAC